TCAAAGGCGATAAGATCTCGAACCTTCTTGATCACATCCACGATATCCTTTATTGCCTGAAGGAAACACAATAAAACGCTACGGAAGAGTACAGTGTATTATCTATGCTATTTAACATTGATATTCATAAAGTTTTGAAGTGTGAATTTCCCGAAATTGTTCCAGTACTCGAGGAATAAAGACGCAAGTAGGTAGCACTTTACAGATACCCCCTGTACCAAAAACACTGAGCAGTTATAGCCGCTAAAGCGAGCGACGGGAAGAAAACTGAATATTATAACGAAGTGTGTTGATAACACCAAACTGGGTTCCTTAAAGGGAAAATTCCTACGGACCCCAACAAGTTCATTGAATGCGATTCCAAGACTCTGCTGACTGTTCTCGTCATGTGAATTTTTTTCATATTTGTCCTTCTGCAGACAGGACAGCTTTTTTTGAAGCATTCAGCGAATGTGTGGATGAAAGGGTAAAGGATGAAGTTTTCTCCATGGTCAGTCCCCTTTGGGGTACGCAACCTAGACGGGGTATGATCTGAATATGGTAGCCGGGATGTGCGCGTGGTTAGGTATCGTTGCTTGCATCTAAACCACTCACACCTCGAGTTATGAACGAGATGTTAAGTCGCCATGTTCGACCCTCGATGAACCTTGGCATAGTTCTAAACGTGTAGTTATATCGCAAATTTTGGAGTACTTTTTCTCAAGGAATTCGAAACAGCAACCTCTCTTTCATCATCGAGAACGATTTCCACGATGGTGTTCACCATCTCGGAACAGCTCGGTTGCCCAATTGAAGACGCCTCTCCGATGTCCTCAATGGCAGCGCGTAGATAGTCCTTGACGAAATTTTCGTCTCCACACCTGTACAAATGGCAGAATGCCACCACATGTCACATCGTAATTACACAGTAAATACATACTTCATGGCCAGTTGAGAGCGGAATTCGTCCCGTTCTAGTGTGGGCAACTCCTTATGGAGACTGGCCTGAAAAACCGAGCTGAATTCTCTCAATTATATCTGTTCACCGAAGTGAAGTACGCACAAACATTTGGTTCAAATTTTCAGGAAGAAGTTCCACTTCCGCATCCAGCATTTGGTTGAATTCGCTCAGGAGCAGCTTTTGCATGCCCATCGGTTTCGTAGATTCGCACTCGTAGCGGAAGAAGTCGATGCATGCCGAAAGGTCTCTGAATGTCATAAGGTGACTCAACAAGTGCACCCATCGTTCATTGTCAATCATAAGGATCAGTCTTATGAAGGGAAAAATCGCGTTTTCCAACTTATTCCTCGTGAGCTACGAAAAACCTATTCAGAAGGTTATTGTTGTCGTTTCTTGAGCACATTCTTTAATTTCCTTCTCTTTCACCACCAGCTACATTAAGCATTTACGCCAACAATGTGATAACTGTTCATACTCAATTAACTGTTGGAATAAATCCCATGAGGACAAATGGCGAAGTTACATAGTCCATTAGGTAGGAGTCCTACCCATAACGGACTCAACTATGACCCTGTACAAACATATAAGATATTTTAAGCACTGAGGATAAAGTGCCTTCTAAATTTTCATTTTTTTAAAATTATTATTATTGCTCTCGTTTAGTTTAAAACGCGATAGAATCATTTCATCAGTCAAGTTTTCTTTGCAAAAACCAATCCTCAATCGTCAAAACCTAAATCTTCACATCTTACATACAGGGGTGGCCAAAAAAAAAGAGACACTCAGCCCATGGCGCACATCATCGAACTTTTCGTCACACAGGGAGCCGATGTTAATGAAAGTTTTATGGCGTTATATTCCTTAGTTGTTCCTCCGTAAACAGAAGCAAGCACTCCTTCACTGCCCCTGCCGTCTCCAGAATATGACGTCATCTGCCGTCACCGTCGAGCTCAACGAGGCTTACCGAAATCGCTCCGACCTGAAGCTGCTACACAATTTCCTCAGTGAATTAATTGTTGAATAGCTTCCTAGAGACATTAGCTGTGAATGTGCAAAACCGCTTTTGACCTGCGTTTCAGAGACGTCGTAATCGTCTATGGTATCTCAACGACCTCGTTGAGATCGTACCGCGCACAATGCTTCCGTGGGAAAATCTTCTGATGTCGTCGGTGTAGAAGGCTGTTGTGTAGCTTGTTGATAGATTATAACGTGCTCTTCAATATTCAGTTGGGGTCATTTGGTTTGGTTTCGCGACGCGTAAATAATTCCGTTTTGAATGTTGAGTGAAGTGTCTCTTTTTTTTTGGCCACCCCTGTATAGTTCCTCATGCCACTTCCATTGTAGCATTCACTGAGAATCAGAACGAGAAAATTTGTCGTATTTGTGACTGATCTACTTCATCAGTATGTTTTACTGAAAAAAGCAGTCTCGCTTCTCCCGTGGTTTTCCACACCTTACTCATCAATCGTTTTCTTCGCAACGCTTCGTGGAAAAAGTCCTCAGACATTCCCTCGTGCACATAAAGCCCTTCGTGCAAATATCGAGAGGACTTTTTCCACGTAGACTTCTCTACATTGGCGTACCCGCGCACCATGTATAATTTATATGTGAGAAGATGCATGCGCCCGTAGGGATAAAAAAAACGCTCACAGAGCGATCTATTTACTATGCACAATACTTCACCTGTAAGCTCACATAAATTAAAATATGTCCGCATAAATAAAAATAAAAGAGTGACAGCTTCTTTGACAGACAGCAGCTAAAAAATATGCATGTGTTAATCTGATATGCAAAAAACCTACTCTACCATTACAAACCATGTAGAACAAAGAATTTCTGAACTAGAAATTGTTTAG